ATATCGTCAAAGTATGTTTGTGCATACGCCCTATAAGGCAAAAACAGCTGCGTCACTAGACGATTGAGCGTTGCAGGTGCGTTAGATATCCCTTGGGGCATCACTAACCTCCCAGAGCATACCGCTCGGAGTGCTGACCGCTGTCAGGTGAATCACTAGCTCGCATGAGCAATTGGTAATAACCATCGACTAAGTCGAGGGCACTGTACATCGTACGTCCCAACATATTGTTCTGAAGAACATCCTTGCGAGGAATTGGTGTTTGAGCCGGGATAGTGGCTGCATTCAGCTTATTGAAAGCATGCACTGTTCGCCACTTCCCATTAGGCTTCTTCACACAAAATGTGGGCGTAGAGTAAGGAGACTTACTCTCATCCACCATACCAGCAGCGTGTTTGCACGAAAGAGCTCGTCAATGACGTCACATTGTTCTCGTGGCAGCGGCCGCTGTCGCGTCACACAATATTTGGTTCCTGGAACCAAGTCAATCTCATGACGTACACCTCTATCCGGAGGTAACTCGTCGGAGGTTCTCTGGATACAACACCTCCATATTTCTTCAACAAAGGAAAATAAGGATCCAATGCATCCTTAGGGATCTGCGAGCCACTGCGCGCATTCAGAGCCTTCTTGGTATCATCCTCAAGAACAGCATTATCCAGAAGCGAGGTGTTCAACTCCTCCTTAGGTCGTATAACGATCACTTCGGCGATGTCGCCTGCCTGTAAGGCAATGCCAAACTCGGCAAAGGATAACTTGTCCAGCTCTAACAGAGCATTTACGGCAAGTATAGCTGAAAGAGCCACCGGCTCTTCAACACTCCAGTCAAGCCATTGACGAGTGTATATAGCTGTTCGCTATCACGCCACTCACAATATCATCATCGCTACTCATGATGCTCTCAGCATCCGACGCATCAGCGTCTATAGGTGTACACACATCAAGGTCAAAAACCTCTTAGTTTACTGAATGCATCCCACCCTCTTGGGCCAAGGCCTCCTCATGAGGTGTTTGCGCCTCGTTGTCCTCAATGACAACCGTCATTTTTGACTCCCTTCGACCCTCTTGGGCCAGTACCTCGTAACTAGATGCTTGCACCTCATTATTCTCAAAGATAACATTCATTGCTGACTTCACCCGACCCTCCAGGGCCAGTACCTCGTCGCTAGGTGCATCCACCTCGTTGTCCCCAAAGACAACATCCATTAATGACTTTACCCAACCCTCCAGAATCAGTACCTCGTCACTCATGTCACTTGTACTCATGTCCTGACATCTTGGCTTGCAGCCACCAACACCACTCACGGTGTTTAATGATGTAACATCATTCTCATGACACATGTCATATGTGCCATCTAGTGGGTTCTCAACCACACTATCGGCAGTCGCTGGGCCTCGCCCAGGACTATTGTCCTCGACACTTACAGTGTCTACAATGTCGGATATTCCGACATCTAACATACTGACCGAATCGGTCCAATATCCGCGCCAAAAGTGCTTTTGCTTCCGAGCACGGGTGGGTTCATGACTCTCCAAAGCCCCACCAGGAGCATTGCGCGTTGCGCCTAAGGTCTTCGACCTCCAAACAATCCATGGCTCATGACGTTCTAGTCATGCCATGCCTAGGATGAGGTCATACCTCGCATCCAGGTCTAAGACCAAACAGCGTTATATGCTGTTAAAGTCCAAGAAGTTTACATTTAAGTCCATCGGTACTTTGGGTACCGTAACACACGACCCATCGCTAAGCGAACAGTGACTGTGTCACTTTCACGCGCTACAAGCGCTTCAGCATAACAGCGATTACAAACAATTTAAAACTTTTTTTTCTTTTTCTTCTTTTTTTTTTTTTTATTTTTTTTTTTTTTTTTTTTTTTTTTTTTTTTTTCTTTTTTTTTTTTTTTTTTTTTTTTTTTTTTTTTTTTTTTTTTTTTTTTTTTTTTTTTTTTTTTTTTTTTTTTTTTTTTTTTTTTTTTTTTTTTTTTTTTTTTTTTTTTTTTTTTTTTTTTTTTTTTTTTTTTTTTTTTTTTTTTTTTTTTTTTTTTTTTTTTTTTTTTTTTTTTTTTTTTTTTTTTTTTTTTTTTTTTTTTTTTTTTTTTTTTTTTTTTTTTTTTTTTTTTTTTTTTTTTTTTTTTTTTTTTTTTTTTTTTTTTTTTTTTTTTTTTTTTTTTTTTTTTTTTTTTTTTTTTTTTTTTTTTTTTTTTTTTTTTTTTTTTTTTTTTTTTTTTTTTTTTTTTTTTTTTTTTTTTTTTTTTTTTTTTTTTTTTTTTTTTTTTTTTTTTTTTTTTTTTTTTTTTTTTTTTTTTTTTTTTTTTTTTTTTTTTTTTTTTTTTTTTTTTTTTTTTTTTTTTTTTTTTTTTTTTTTTTTTTTTTTTTTTTTTTTTTTTTTTTTTTTTTTTTTTTTTTTTTTTTTTTTTTTTTTTTTTTTTTCTCCCTTTTTCTCTTTTTCTTTTCCCCTCCCCTCCCCCCCCCCCCCCCCCCCCCCCCCCCCCCCCACTGCTGACTACCTTCCGCGGTGGCACGGCGCACATAATTGCCCGATGCTCCCAAATCGATCAAAATAATCCATGGCTTATCATAGCCCTTAATTGTCCCTTCAACGACTAGCAAGCCTGGCTTGCATTCTCGTTCCATTATTGAGAGTTCGGATCTCTTTGCGGCTGAGCCCTATTTACTCTACCTCCTAAAGGTTCAACAGAACTCAGTTCTTCCCCAGTAGGGCGCCCCGCGCCTACTGGGTTCCACCGTTTCCCCGCGGCAAACCAGAAGGTTTACCCATGTGGCGTCGAGGCCAAATATGCCTCTCTTGCAGGGCATTTTGCCATCAAATGGCCGATATTGAGGAACTCGGAAGGCTTTGTGATCTTACAGATATAACATCTGCGCACAATTTGCTGCTCCAAAGCAAGAAGCTCAGCTTCTTCATCCTCCACTTGGCTACAGTCCATGCGTACAGACCCATCAGACGAGTAGTTATAAGTAGCAGGCCTAGCGGCCTTGAAGTTGGTCTCGGCATTCCATGCCACTCCAACAGCTTCCTCGAATGAGGACGGGTTTACCCGGAAGCCTTCCGTTTTGGCAACGCCAACTCGGAGGCCCTCCATAAAGGCCGTGACGGTCACTGCTTCAGGCATAGGGTCTATGACCATGCCAGCAATAAGAACTCAAATCTTGCACATATGCCGCAAGCTCACGCTTGCCTTGGCGACACGCCAACAATCGAGACCGGTTACGGTGTGCTTGGTTTGGCGGTGCATACTGCCGGGTCATCTGAACTTTCAGATCGGCCCATGTGGGAAAAGCATCTTGCAATGATGCACCGCATTTGAATGCCGACTGTTTCGCTAAGCCACCTAATTTGCCCGTGGCAAAGCCCACACGGTACGATTCATAGGTGATGTCGGCTATAAACATAGCCAACTCAACCTGTCGGAACCAAATAATAAATGTATCACCTTCTTTGCCGTCGAACTTATCGACTTCCATTTGTATGGGTTTTGGTCTGCGGACCACTTCTTGTGCCATAGTCGCCGTGGGCGAAGGCGCAGACGAAGGCATCCGTGCCTTTACATGCTCGACTAGAGCTTTACTATACTCATAAATCATAAGAATACGCTTGTTAAACTATTCTTCGCCCTGGGCGATGTGGTACTCCACGCCCTTAGGGCCAAGGATAGGGAGCGGCTTCTGCAACCCTTCCTGTTGTGCCTGTGGCAGGCCAACCGCTGACATCTCATCGATGTCCATCCTCACAAAGAGAAGTAGTCGCAAACCCAGGTGCGGGATTGACTACAAGTGCTACCAGGTGTAGCCGAGCTACTGTAGCTATGCTACTTATGCACTACGTGCAGGTGCACTAGTTGCAGATGCACTATGTGCAGAAGAAGTAGTCAATCTACTGTAGCAAAGCTACGTATGTACTATGTGCAGAGGAGGCCAAGCTCAAAGAGCTTCGAAGTCTCAGGGTGCTTAACCCTTCTTAGGCTAGCTCGTCAGCTTGTGCCTATCGGTATTAACAACCGAGTCTCAGAGACTAGTATCAAAGTTACAATTCCTATACGGAATAAAACGCTCTAGCAACTAGTGCTATACAGAGCAGGTTTGAGACTGATTTCTATTTATGTTTGTCTTCTAACACTAAATATAGAAGCACCTACTCTATACTTAGTGCTAGTCACTATTTACTGGCTCTATAGCCTGTTATTATTATGCAAACATGCAAAGTCACTATACTTTAAATAAGTATAGTGACCACGTGGCTCTCTACCCTTCGTACTTCAGGTACGGTCACTTTTGAACCCAAGGTACAGCCACACCACATTGGTGTGGCTGGTGTGTACGTAAAATACACACCTTCGTGCAACCTCGCATATTTAGCTGGTGTTCCGGGACGTCGAGATCCTGCCGATGCATCGCCTTTACCTAAACTAATAGACAATTTAAACACTCTACTGAGGTTTGCTGGCTCATTCGTCCGCATTCCGCCGCTTAACGCAACATACGCTCTGCGAGGCGGTGAGTACTCTAGCACATTTTTACCACGTTTTGACCGGTATTTCTCCTTAATTCCCTTCTTCTCTTGCAGGCTGTCAATCTTTCGCGACAGATGTTTTCCCAAGCTCTTCAGACCTCTTGTCTGTAGCGGTAGCATTGTAAGTAGACGCATAGCCTGTTTGTTTACTCAGCGTACGCTGCAGAGAAATTAGAAGCAATCTACTACCTGCGTAATGTCTGCTATTGGTGCTCTGCAAGCCAATTTCTCGCACCTATATTTATAGATTTAATCTTGTCAGTGGAGTTAGTGCCTCATCTTATAATCATCCCTTGTGGTCGGCCGATCTAAGCATCGTACCCTAGCGGTGTACCGCTCCGCTTTCTTTTGCCATTTGAAAACGAGTCCCTTAACTTACTCACGATTTGCTATATAATTTGGTCCAATAACATTATAGCACGTATCTTTGCTTACATCTCAAAGGTATTCACATCTCCGAGTCGTTGCAATGAACGGCTTTAACTCGTTCTTCCCGAAAAACTCGGTACCACGCAATCCGTACTATCGCCACTCACAGCTACAGCGACCTCGCACGTCTACTAAAGATCGCTTCTTTGTGCTAGTAGGGATTGCCGTAGTGTTCACGTTCTTTGTGGCATATCAAAACTTTCGGAACGTGGCACCATTGGCCGGTAGTCAGATGTCGGTTGACCAGCAAGCGGAGGCCGTAGCTGCATTGTCAGGTCATAAACAGAGACAGAGACTGCGCGCACCAACTGATGAGACGGATCAGAAGGAGACATTGAGTATTTCAACGTCAAGTCTTAAGATTATGACTTTCAACTTGAGATTTGACGGCAATCAAGATGGAAGTAATAGCTGGATGTATCGTAAGGACCATGTGGCAGACATCATTGATCGTTATCATCCAGTAATTATAGGCACTCAGGAGGGACTTAAGAAACAACTAGCTGAACTGGAGGTGAGATAGCGATGATATTTGAGTAAGAGGGTGATTTCAGTACTGATGGTTTGCTCTCTGTGTATTTTCAGGGCTTGCTCAAGTACCCGTACCAACGCTTTGGTGTCGAGCGCGATGAGAATGGCGAGTTTGAGCAGATCTTCTACGACGCAGAAGTACTGGAACGTCTGGACAATGGAGACTTTTGGCTTTCGAAAACACCAGACACACCAAGAACTCAAGGTTGGGATGCCGCATGTGTGCGTATGGTGACATGGGGAAAGTTTCGTTTACGAGCTACGCAGCAGGAGCTTTTTGTTTTCAACACGCAATTGGATCATGTGGGTTCAAAGTCACGTGTGGAGGGCTCGAAGCTGCTATGGAAGCGAATGCAGCAAATTGCAGGTGATGCTCCGCTTCTTCTCATGGGTGACTTCAACGACTATCGCCACACAAACACCTACAGCTACTTTACATCTCAAGAAGGCGGACCACAACTACATGAAGCCTGGCCAGAAGCGGTGAAGCAGATCGGGGATGTTTCATACACGTACCATGGCTGGGCTGGTGTTAAGAATGACGAAGAAAAGAATGCTGTTCGTGCTGCCAATCATATTGATTGGATTTTCTTTCGTCCACAAATGACAGTGCTGACGACGGAAGTTATCACTGAAAATCGCAACGGCCGTTACCCATCGGATCACTACCCCGTTCAGGCGGAAGTCCTCTTCCCCGGCCCTGCACAACTTTCTCCACCGTACGATCCTTAGACATCACAAGACACGAGTACACTTATGTGAACAAAGTAAGTCGTGTGCTGGTGTACTTCTTGCAAGGGCAATGTTCTAAGCGGAAGGTGGCTTTGCACTGTTGAGGCATTACATAGACAGGTGGCTCGGTAGGAAAATAAAAAAAAGTAATATAGTCGAGTAGCACGTTTTCGTATTCCAGTGTAAAAGACTATTTCATGTGTGCAGGTTGAGGATGTTGAGATATTAGCTGTGTAGAATAACTTTCACTGACCCTAAGCAAAGCCAGCTCAAACTGTATTATCTGTCAGTAATCAGCCCGCGCTGACCGCTTTAGTTGAAATGCTGCAAGATGGCTTCAAATTGGTGCAATGCTGGATCTTCAACAACCGCTTTGCCAAATTCTATCAGCTGACATTTCATGGCAAGCAGCATCCAGAGGTGCTGATAGCAGAAAGAACTGGAGACCAGACTCTTTTTCCTACGGGATCCAAGCATATCTACCTGGGTTTGTAAAGGCGGTTCCCTACCTGCCCTGAAGGAATGCAAGTACGCTGAATCGTAGAAGCTTGAAGCACTTGCAAACGCTGAAGCGTCATTGACAGCGACGTCAACAAAACAAACGTCAATGTGCAGGCTTGTATTGCTTAGCGACACGTCAAGAGACGAGAAAAATCTGAAAGCTTTGAAAGAGGGTCACACAAAATCTATCTGCAGTGAATAGGTGTGTGAAGTCGAAACAGAGTATACAATCAAGCTGCATCTTCATTTATTTTCTGCAGCGTAGTACTAGAAAACGTCGAAGGTTTGCTCGATGATACAATGCATGTTAATGCTCTCCAGGTAAAACTAAGATAATAGCAAGTTGAATAGCAATCAAACGGAAGCACGGGCATACAAGCCAAAGCAAGCTTGACATAGATCGCGTGCCGCCTTCATCTTTTGATAATGTAGGGGACCAACGATGGCAAGGGAGCAATTTTCTTACCCTACAGCACCACACAACAATCATACAATCAGCAGGGAATAACAGGTAAGTTTTGTTGCATTGGACTTGTTCGGTATCCGCACCAGCCTTGAGTAGGCGATACCGGAACCGGTCGTCCTCAACAAATAATCGTTAACACTAACGTAAATGTATATACAAAAGCTCTTTCACACTGCACCTTGGCCTCCATTGAACCCTTTACGTCACTGGCACGTATTGAAGCGGTGAACTGGGTTTTCTAATGAGCCGTAACTTGACGTCGGAATCGGCGTAAAAGATCACGTTCAACTTCACTTATGCACAGATGTCTTCCTCAAGTAGAATTTGCCAACGCACTGCAAGACTTTGCATTGCCTTCAGTGGCAAATGTATCATCAAGCATGCACGATCTTGCACTCACCAATCGGCTTCACCGCCAACCTCTATGCTCATGTTTGTCGCTTCCATGTCTTTGTTCCGGCAATCTGCAAAATATATGGACCTTGGTTTCTTTGGTCTATGGTTATTGTTCTTGGAGTCTTAATGTTGCTGCTCAGCTTCTAAGCAATGCTTTCAGTTGCAATAGAATATTGTTGTGGCTTGAACGAACGAATTTATTTTAATATATTTATAAGGATCTGATCAAATTATTTGAATCCACTACCAAGCAAGATCACGAATTGTTTATCTTGCTTGTTTCATTCCAATGGGCTTGCAGTGACATGCACAACTCGTCAAACATGAGAGAGTGACTTCCACTTTATGCGTTTCATGCAGCTGTAGAAGCATTTGAATACGATTGTGCATGATTCGAAAAGGATCAAAGCGTTTCAATATCCCCAATGCTTGTACAGTCGTCTTTGCATTCCAAACCGGTGATTAAAGACTTAATTTGATCATCCTGCATACTGTCGCAAAATCCGTCATATCATTGAGTTTTAATCACATTCACTGGAAGCCTCTGTAGCGTCATGTCCTCTGGAAGTTGCTTCTACACAAGCTTCATCCAAGCGTCAAACTCGTAGCGCGAGGAATCTTTTTTGACCGGTCATATTTACGTCCATAGTCTATCAAGGTATAATTTCATTAAAAGAAGAACTTGGTAACAAAAGACGTTAGTATATATATTTGTATCAAGCTCTTTCATCTCACAAATTATTTGAGTATCAGTTGTAAGCAATTCATTCTTACAAGTCCTACTGGTGTAACGGGGTTACACAAAGGTATGTATCATACATAACACACCTGCCACTTCATTTTGATCTGGCTGTACTTAGTCTCTTTGGTGTATCCCTGCATTGATGGTATGTGTTCGTTGCATGTTGGAGCATGCCAGATTGTCCAAGGCGTATTGGGGCAAAGCAAAAATGACTGCTACATTTCTTCATAACCGATGCCCGACGCGTTCCCTAGTCAGGATAAGCCTCCGCACCAAGTCTGGATCGGTAAGAAACCGCTACTGGTGAACCTGGCGGTGTTCAGTTGCCATGAGTATGTAATGGTCCCAAAGCAGCAACGTGGCAAATTCGATGCCCGCTCGATATGCTGCCGGTTCATCGGATATACGGAGCACGAAGAAAGCATATCAGTTTGAAGAGATCTAGAGCCGTAGAATCATTATAAGTCATGACGCGCGATTCATGGAAGATGTCTTTACAAATGGGAGACGCTGCTATAGCGACGAAGATGAGTTAAACAACGTATTCGTGAATATCCCGGATGATGAGGCCACTGATTACGAATCATCATCTCCACCGGATATCGCTGGTAATAGTAATGACACTGTGCTTGGGACCAAGCGTCACACCCGAACTTTATCGTTGGAACACGAAGTTAAATTCTGGCTTCGAAGAGGCTCGTTCACAAACAAGACGAGGCATGTCCGCATTTGCGCGGGCACCGTACGATCTTCACGCAGCGAATGTTGTAGATTCAGTGGGAGGAATACCGACAAGGTCCAAGTCAGCGATGTAATCTAGCAATGCGGTCAAGTGGAAGGATGCGGGCGACTCCGAAATGGACTCTTTTCACAAGAATAAGACGTGGACGTTGGTTTTATTGCCCAAGGGTCGAAAGGCGATCGGCTGTCGATGAGTATTTCAAGTCAAGGAGAACCAGGCGAAAAAGATTGACCGTTTTAAAGCACTTCTCGTTGCTAAAGAATTCTCTTAGCAATACGTCATTGATTACGAAGACACGTTTGCACCAGTGGCAAAGTTTACGTCCATCAGAATAGTGATTAGTCTGGTAGCCAAGTACAATCTGGCTGTTTATTAAATGGATGTCAAGACGGCTTTCCTCAATGAAAATTTGGATGAAGACATCTGCATGGTTCAACCGGACGGCTACATCGATCAAAAACACGGTCATGTCGTTTGCAAGCTGCAGCGGTTGCTTAATGGATTGAAACAACCGCCGCGAATGTGGAGCAAGACCATTGACACATTCATGCTTCGGCTTACATTTGCAAAGTGCAAATCCGACCATTTATCTACATCAAGCGTGATGAGAAGGACATGATGCTTGTGGCTCTTTACGTTGATGACCTGGTCCGTGCCAGTAGCAATGACAAACTTCTAAAGGAAACTAAGTACGCACTCAGTCAGCGGTTCGAAATGACCGACATGGGGAAACTCAAATACTTTCTTGGCGTTGAAATCAATCAGGACGAATCTGCTGGGAAAATGGGATGCGGCAAAGCAAAATCGTCAAAGATACAATTAATAAGATCGACATGGAGACAACAAACCGGTCAAGCCACCTCAGGACCCAGGACTCAAGTTGACAAAAGTCATGTGCGAAGGAGGTTGCAATCATGCAGAAACGATGGCAAACGTGCCTTAACGAAACGCGGTTAAATATCTTCTGCGTCTTATGGTATGTACTCGTCCTGAAATTTCTGCTGCAGTGGGAGTGCTTAGTCAATTTGCAGCCGACCCATGTCTAATACACTGGCAGGCACTTAAGAGGGCATTTCGATACATATTAAGAAACAAAGACACACGAGATCAAATTTCAAGCAAGGGGTAGCTCGCCAATACAAGGATACTTGGATGCGGATTGGGCCGGCGACATTTAGATAGACGGAGAACAAGTAGTTTCGCGTTCATGATGAACGGTGGATGCATTATATGGAGAAGCAAAAAGCAGCGACCCGTAGTCCTATCATCAACAGAAGCAGAATGCATGGCACTTGCGGAAGCTATGCAGGAGGCTGTGTGGCTAAAAGTATTTTTGTGCGAACTTGGAGAGATGACAATCGATGAAGCTGTCACAATCTATGAGGACAACAAAGGCTCGATTGCATTGGCCAAGGATCCGGAGTTCCACAAACGCACTAAATATGTTGACATTCGTATTCATTTCGTACGCGAGAAGGTTGCAGACGGTCAAGTAATGCTAAAGTACTGTCCAATAAAAGACATGAAGGCAGATCTCATGACAAAGCCGATCACAGCTTTGCAGTTCGAATATCTCGTGACATGCTAGAAATCAAAGCGGCATGTCGCTAACGAGTTGAGTTAAGACATCTTGTTTGTCATGATTGATTGATTGACTGATGATTGACTTTTTAATTGACTTATTGATTATTGATGCTTTATTGAATGATTGATGGTTGACTAATGGATTGATTGATTGATGATTAAAAGAATTCTTTGAGTAGCAAAAGCATTTCCCAACTAAGGACCATACTATATTTACTTTGCATTTTGCATCATAGATCAAGCTTTTTTTTATCAGGAATAAGTACCAAGGGCGCAAGTATTTGTCTCGTTGGAGCTCAAGAATAAACTGTGTAGCTGAATTTAGCGTACGAATCCACCACCTACCAGGTCGACTATCAGCTGGAACTGTCGGATGAGGATGAAGGGCCATTGGCGGATGTGAAATAGTACGATAACCCATCCGGCATACGACAGCAGCCAATGGTACCCGCTCCACTGATACTATGTAATCTCGGCCGAGAATTGACCAGGTCGACCATTAGATATATAAAATGGATTAGAATAAAGGACCAACGGTGGAGACATAACAGTATGGCACCTCATCAAGC